CAAATTCTATTGCTGCAACTAGTGAGTTAACTATATCACACCTGGCACAGTTTAACTGATAGGCTACTTCCAGATCCGTGAATTAACTTTGCTGCTCTCCTCATTCAAAGGCCAGATGGAGTCTCAAATATTTCCTGCACAGTCTTTCCCAAAGTTTGCCCACTGCAGAAATCAGACGTTCACAGATTAATCAAGAAGCTCCAGCCTCACAAAGATTAAGCCTATTAGATATTTTGGTCATCTTTGTTTCAAATTCTACTTCTAAATTTCAAATTAGAAATGGCTAAATTTGCAAGTTGTTTTTTAACCAATGATGCTTTATGGTATGTATCATCCCTCTACCCACAATTTTTAAATCGGTACATGTAAAACTATGTCCTGCATTTTGCAAAGTACAGGAGCTTCAATGAACGAATAAGAAGGCTTTGCCAATACTTTTCATTTCCATGACCATGGGGAACCAAAAGACCCTACAAAGAACACTCACCCTGCATTAAAAAAAAAGTTGAGAAAAATAAAATCCAGGAATAAATTAACCTCTGGCTCTCCCAGTCTAAACTGGGCACTGTCTTGTGATGCAGAATTGACAAAAAGAAACAGAGATGTGACTTGGCTTCCTAATTTCAGTCTGTTCTAAAGAAAAGGAAAATATGTGAGTTTTCAAACTAACAAATGTCTGTATATAACTCTTCGAATCAAAGGCCTGGTACTTCATATATAGGTAATACTAAGAAAAGTTAGGGCAAAAAATTTAATGAGAGGTTTGATTAATCTGAAAATAAGCCTCTTGTATAAGAATATTTAACAAATTACTGATGGGTATATAAAGTGATTTGAGTCATTTTACTCCTATTCAAGACTGATTAAACAAAAACAGAAAAGCCCTTAATAGCAAAAATGTCCCGTCCAATATCACAGAAAGGAAAAAGCTAAATAACACAATACAGAGAGTACATAAGCCTACCTTTCATTTTACAATTCAGAGCCACAAAAACTAAATAGCTTTTTAAAGTTCTGTGGCTGTAAAGAGCAGAAATAAAGGCAGAACTTATCTCCAGACTCTTCCAATCCAAAAACCTATACGCTGTCATAAGAGATCCACTCTAGACCCAAAAATTCAGACAGAAAGTAACAAGATGGAAAAAGATGTTCGATGCAAATTGTAACCAAAAGACAAATAAAATGATATGCTTAAAGGAAAAAAAAAAAAAAGGATGTGAAAATGCTACAAAAGAGGAAAAGGGTCCATCCATTAAAAAATTATAATAATTATAAACACATGTGCAACGAACAACTGAGCCTACGAATATAAAAAGCAAAAATATTCAGAATTAAAGGACTAAATGAACAACAATGGTTGGAGATTTCAAGACCTTGTTTTTTTTTTTAAATATTTTTATTTATTTATGTTATTTTTAGGTGTAGATGGACGCAACACAATGCCTTTATTTTTATGTGGTGCCGAGGTTTGAACCTGGGTCCCACGAGTGCTAGGCGAGCACTCTATCGCTAAGCCACAATCCCAGCTTATCAAGACCTTGTTTTTAATAGAAGATGTAACTACACAGAACATAAACAAGGAAGCAGACGAATTGAACAATTCTTTCCAAGAAAAGTCTAAACAATTTTTTCGAGTGCTTCAAGAACATTCTCTAGGATAAAATACGTATTAGATTAAAAAAAACAAGTCAATTAATTTTAAAATATAGAAATAACACAATGTCATTTCTGAGTCCACTTGAATACAATTAGAAATCAAATAATAACACAAGGGCTGGGACTGTGGCTCAATGGCAGAGCGCCTGCCTGGCATGTGTATGTGTGAGACAGTGGGTTCAATTCTCACACTGCATATTAATAAATAAAATAAAGGTCCATTGAGAATTAAAAAAGAAAGAAAGAAATAAAACAAGAAAATCGAAAAAAAAATCAGTAAATTTGTAAAGTTAACAATAACATACTCTAAAATGATTAATGAGTCAAAGAAGGAAGCACAAGAAAAATTACAAAGTACTTTGAAAAGAATAAAAAAACAGCTAAATATAGTAAAACTATATTTTTACTATAGTACTAAAAGGGAAATTGATACGGCTATAATTGTCTACATTAGGTAACAAATGACTACATTCCCCCTTAAGGAAGTAGATAAAACAAGTAAACTTAGCCCAATATAAGCAGAAGAAAGGTTATAATAAAGAATCTGAAGAGATGCTTCTCAGAAGATGATGTACAATCAATCAACAAATACATTAAAAAAAGTTCATCATCACTAGTAATTAGAAAAATGCAAATAAAAACCACTCTAAAATTTCATCTCACTCCAGTCAGAATGGCAGCTATTATGCATATAAACAACAATAAGTATTGGCAAGGATGTGGGGAAAAAATACACTCATACACTGTTGGTGGGACTGCAAATTGGTGCAGCCAATATGGAAAACAGTATGGAGATTTGTTAAAAAATTGGGAATGAAACCACCATTTGACCCAACTGTCCCTCTCCTCTATACCCAAAAGACTTAAAAACAGCATACTACACGGACACAGCCACATCAATGTTTATAGCAGCACAATTCACAATAGCTAAACTATGGAACCAACCTAGATGTCCTACAACAGATGAATGGATAAAGAAAATGTGGCATATATATACACAATGGACTACTACTCAGCAATAAAAGAATAAAATCATGGCATTTGCAGGTAAATGGAGAGAGATAAGATAATGCTAAATGAAGTTAGCCAATCCCAATAAACCAAATGCCAACTGTTTTTTTTTTATATGTTGAGGCTGATTCATGGTGGGATAGGTAGCGGGAGCATAGGAGGAATAGACAAACTCTAGATAGGGCAGACGGGAGGGAGAGGAAGGAAGGGGGAATGTGGTTAGATGATGGTGGAATGTGATGATCATTATTATCCAAAGTACATAAATTGGTGTGAACAAAATTGCATTTGAAAAACCAGAACCTCCATGCCTTATTCATGTGAACATAAAATGGTGCAGTCACTAGGAAAAATAATATGGTAGTTTCTCAAAAGGATTGACCATCAAAATTACCATCTGACTCAGCAATTCACCATACAACTAAATATTCAAGAAAAATAAAAAATCTCTGTTCACAAAAAGTTTGCAAATAAATGTTCATATTAGCATTATTTAACAGTATAAAAGTGGAGACAATGCAAATGCCCATAAACTGATGAACAGGTAAATAAAATACAGTAAATCCACCCAGAAGAATAGTATTTATTGCCCAAAAAATGAAGTCCCTGCTGTCTGAGGAAGCCTCCAGGAACCAGTGTGCCTTTTAACCTGCCACAGCCATACTTCTGGATGTCTGTGACTTATGCACCAATGTCCAGCCCTCAATAAGACTTCATGCCTCCAGAGTAAGCTAATTCTTCCTTCTTTGGTTCCTGCAAAATTGAACCCAGTGGTGCTAATCCCTGAGCCACATTCCAGTGCTTAGAGACAGTCTGGCTCGCCAACTATTGCTGCAGGCCTCTGGGGATTACAGGGTTGAGCACTGCCCACCCTGGCCTCAGCTAATTCTTCACATGAAGATAAGACTAGCATATTAAGTCACCAGTGGGGGTAGAGAACCCTGGTCTCATGGACCCTATTAGGCTACTAGGATGCCCACTAAAGAGGACATATAGGGGTGAAATGGGAATGTGGTTTCTCCTAGAGGCACTATTACTGGGTACCCCTAACTCTAGCCTATTTTCAATATGCCTAATTTCTAGTGGCCAGTGGGTTTGACATTCATGTTCCAATTGGGGAAATGTCCAAACCTAACCCTCAGCTACAGAGGGAATTCAGAGATTTACAGACTTTTCAGTGTTGCCTGGGTTCCCTCTGCCTTTGATTCCCCTTTCCAAAGGGCCCCCAAGGGAGACAGAGTGTGGGGAGCTGCTAGAGGCTTAGCCATTGCTGAGATATGCTTGGGAAGGTGGCTCCCTGCACTGGACATCCTCCAACCTGGGCCAAGTAGTTGGCATTGCAGGCAGGAGCTACAACGCAGCTGAACATTGTCTTTAATAAACTGTTTTCTTTGGAAAAAAAAAAAGAAGAAGTCCTGGCAGGTGTGGGGTTGCATGCCTGTAAGTTCAGCAAGTCAAGAGATGGAGGTGGGAAGACAGTGAGTAGGTGGTCAGCCTGGGGTGGGGGAGGGATGGAGTACTGAATCACGCTGTAACACCAATAAACCTTGAAAATATGCTAAATGAAATAAGCCAGAAACAAAAGACCACATATTATATGATACCCTTTGCATGAAATGTTGAGAATAGGCAAATCTACAGAGACAGAAAGCAGACTGATGGTTATCAGGCTAAGAAGGAGGAATGGGGAATAACCACTTAGAATTTGATAATTCCTTTTGGTGATGAAAACTTCCTGGAATTAAAAATGGTGAAAGACATAGAATACTGTGAATATGTTAGAAGCTACTGGATTATAAACCCTTAAGTGGTTAAAAGGGGAATATTATAGAAATTTTTATCTAAGTTATAAAAATCAAAGGGAATTAAATTAAATATAAATATAAAAATATTAATTTAAAACAATTCAGCATAAATTGAACACAAAAAGTACCTTCAATATTCTTATAACTAGTGCTGGGGTTGTACAGCGCTCACCTAGCACGTGCGAGGCCCTGGGTTCGATCCTCAGCACCACATAAAAATAAATAACGGTATTGTGTCCAACTACAACTAAAAAATAAATATTAAAAATACAAATTCTTATAACAATATGCTCAAAACCTAGATCTACAGCTGTCAAATGCTTCACAAGTGTGGTATTGTTATCAATTGCAGGACTTTTTTTTTTTTTTAAAGTTTGAACTACCATAAAAAAAAGCAATAAGAGAGAAAAAAAGTCATATACTAATTTTAAGAGGCAAGGTTATGATTATTTATGAAGTATTTTTTAGAAAGCTGTTGGGGAATACAAACATCTAGTAACCCTGTCCTTGTATTCAGCAGTGACTCACCAAGCTTCTCAGGCTCTTCAGGCCCTGTGCCTGCAATACAGCTGCTCTCCAAGCCATAGGTAGGATCCACTTTCCCAGAGGCTCGGGCAGCCTCTTGTACTTTCTTAACATGGGCTTCAACCAACTCCAGTGGTACCTCCTCTCGGACCCGAGAAAACTCCTCTGGTTCAACAATAAAAATGGAATAATAACCTAGTTTTGCACAAATATTTGCCTTAATTTTAAAACTGCTAGGATGTGTGACAAAGTAATATTCTCTTGGATGTAGTGACCTCCTTTGGGCTCAGTCCTTATACCAGCAAAATGAGATAAACATTAATGATTTATCTTATATATCACAGTCTTGCTAACTGCTATAAAGTACCTCACTTTAACATGTCTTAGTACTTTTTACAAAGCACATGGTTGTCTCTAAAGGATAATGTCTGATTTTTATTATGTATAGAAATTAATGTAACAGCTAGTAATATTTAAATTTGATAAAAATTAAGGTTTTTTTGTTGGACAGATGGATTGGGGTGGGGGAGTCCATACCCAAAGCTGCTTTTGCTGCAGCAGATGCCACACGTGGGTCCACCACAGATGCCAAAAAAGCAACAGTACTCATGACTGGATTTCCCGACTGACTGAAAGGAACTGGCTGATAGGCCAGAGGCCCAAGGGAAGCATCTGAATTTTCGAGGTATGGGTCCTCAATGGGAAGCCTCAAAAAGTGGAGGATGCATTCATCCTGAGTACGACTTCCGACATGTTCTGACACTTTGTTCCAATCATCCTTATACATCTCCAGGGCCTAAAATAGAAAAAACAGGACTTTTAATATGGTTTAACAAGGAATAATATGTAATGAAATTAGAAGCCTGTCACTGTTCTTTAGATAGCTATTAAAAAAAAAAAAAGAACAACAACAAAAAAAAAAATGGCTTTTGTTATACATAAAAAGGTGAATTTGAGCTGAACACAGTGGTGCATGCCTGTAATCCCTGCAGCGTGGGAGGCTGAAGCAGGAGGACTGTGGATTCAAAGTCAGCTCTTCTTATTTTTTATTTTGAGACAGTGGTCTCACAAAGTTGCAGATGCTAGTCTCACTCTTGTGATCTTCCTTCCTCAACTTTGTCAGTAGCTGGGATTATAGGTGTGCACACCACGCCTGGCTTCCAGCTCTTTTCATGTAGAAATTGATAAACTGATAATATAATTCATAATGTATACAAATGTCTGTTTTAGGCCAGCTTCAGCAATTTGGGAAGACCTTAAACAACTTTTTTTTTTTTAAAGAATCTTTTTTGCTACGTCTCCATTCATTTTTTTTTTTTTTTTAGTTTTAGGCGGATACAACATCTTTGTTTGTATGTGGTGCTGAGGATAGAACCCGGGCCTCCGCTATGACTCCAGGCCCATCACAAAATTTAGACTGCAGGCCCTGGGTTCAATTCCTATACAGCATAAAAATTAAAACAAAAAATCTGCAGTGATTTACTACTCTTATTCTATTCTCTCAGGGCTATCTTTCTTTCCTTTTTCTTTTTGGTAGGGTTGCAGATGGGGCCTTTGGAATGTTGAACAAGTGCTCTGCTACCAAGCTATATCACTAGCCCTACTAGGGCTGTGGTTTTCAATGGAGACAATTATACCTTTTTGGAGACATGTGGAAATGTTAGGAGACATTTGTGATGATGCAAATAGGGAGATAATACTATACTAGTATCTACTGAGTAAAGGCCATGGATGTTGTGAAATGTTCTATATTGCACACAGAAACCCAACTTCCCCCAATCGTATGGCTCAAATGTTAATAAGGTTGTGAATGACAACCTTAGTTTCAAAGTCTAATTAGCTGTGTGATTGGCTTTCTACAATAGTTTGCTTTATGTTTACTTGCCTCAGTGAATTCAGAAGCCTAGGCTCCAAATGCTGCTCCAGGCTTTCATTCATACTACAGTGATAGAGGACAATTCTATCTTTTTTTGTTTGTTTTGAGAATTTTAATATTTATTTCGTAGTTTTCGGTGGACACAACATCTCTGTTTATATATGGTGCTGAGGATTGAACCCGGGCCGCACCGCTTCAGCCAAATCCCCAGCTCGATAGAGGACAATTCTAAAACTAAATCAGCAAATGCTCTACTCATTAAATCCTTGAAAAGTTAGGGAAATTATGAGTTTCCTTTGGATATTCAGTGACTTCAGGTAGTTCTAGAGGGAATTACTTAGAAGTCAAAAACATACCTACTAGGACTGTCTCAAATTTCTAATTACAGGTAGAACATGCTCTATCATAACCTTTTCCAATGAACTTGTTAAACTTCTTCATTCATTTTGCTTCAACCAATCAAAAAAAAAAAAAAGAAAAGAAAAGAAAAGAAAAAGTTCAAACTTTTTTCATTTTTATTTGCAGTACTGAGGGCACTCAATGACTGAGGTACATTCCCAGCCCTTTCTATATCTGAGATAATTTGCTAAATTGCCAAGACTGAGTCAGAACTTGGGATCTTCCTGCCTCAGCCCCTGAGGTAGCTAGGATTGTAAGTATGCACCACAGTGCCTGGTGAAAGTTTTTTTTTCTCCAGAATAAAGCTGGATTTGGGGAACCTTTCCAGATGCAAAATCTAAGCAAGAGTTAGCATCTAAAAGAACATACGGATCAGAAAGAGTAAAATGCCACAGCCTGGAAACTGACTGTAGTATTACATGAAAGGGGGAAATTGGAGAAAAGACTTCAATAGGGAAAAAGGTGAAAGACTGGCCAGGAAGGAAATAGGGTGACACAAAGAAGTTTTTTACTAGATATTTATTCCGGAATCAAGCCTTCATACTTAGATTCTTGGAACTTTTCTCTCTGTACTTTAAGTCATCATTTTCTGTATTGCTAAACTGAAGTATGTTTCCCCAAAATACTTTTTCTATCCTGCCTAAAACAATTTTACTGCTTATCATTATCTCGTGAAGTTAAAGCCAATTATCACTAGGAGTCTGCCATCTCACTCTTTCTTCTTTAAGTTCCAGGAATACCCAGACGCCACAACAATTCCTATGTATTGTGCATAAGAGTTTATTCTATAGTAGAAACACCTTGTATTAGAACAACTACTTCCATACCATTCCCAGAAAGCTGTTTATTTTATCTTATATATGCAGCCCATTTGCATAACAGCTCTTTTGTATTTGTCTGGTGCTCTGGGTGTACCTCCTATAATAAAATTGGGAATACTGTATTCAAGTGTTGTATTTTATTTATTTCACCTGCTAGATTATGAACTCTTTGATGGTAGGCACTGTGTCCTAGTCATCTCTATCTGTGGTGTCTGTCACAGTTCCTAAAACGCAGTACCTAATAAAATTCACTGAACTTTGTCACAAGAAATTGGAATAAACAAGGAAAGGGATTGAACTTTTCTGATACTTGAACATTAACAATATTATTTTCACAGAATTATTATTTTTCATTTTTTGCAGCTATACTAGGGACAGAATATGGCCTCCCATAAGGCAGGAAAGTGCTCTACCACTGAGCTACCCTTCCAGCCCTGATACTCAGCATCTTATTAAACAAAAACAACTGCCTTTCTTGCACTGGGGGTATAGTTCAGTGGTATGTGCCTGCCACGTGGAAAAAAGCATTGAAAAAAAATGTTTTCCCTGTACACAAGTTCTAAAACGGAAGACCTATTCATCTGTACTGCAGTTCAAAATTACACAGGATGAAATATTTGCTTGGGGGCTGGGGATGTGGTTCAAGCAGTAGCGTGCTCTCCTGGCATGCGTGCGGCCCGGGTTTGATCCTCAGCACCACATGCCAACAAAGATGTTGTGTCCGCTGAGAACTAAAAAATAAATATTGAAAATTCTCTCTCTCCTCTCTCACTCTCTCTTTAAAAAAAAAAATATCTGCTTGGTTGCTTATTAACAAAAGGTATAGCTGGGTGTGATGGTGCATGCCTGCAATCAGAGACTCAGGAAGATGAGGCAGAAGAATTGCAAGTTTGAGGCTAGTCTTGATAAATTTGGGAAAGTTTATTTCAAAATTAAAACAAAGAGCTGTGATATAGCTCAGTGACAGACTGCTACCCACTTAAAAAAAAGAGAAAGAAAAAGAAAGGATAGGGGCTTGGGTTTGGCTCAATGGCAGAGCACTTGCCTAGCATGTGTGAGGCACTAGGTTCAATCCTCAGCACCACATATAAATAAATAAAAAATAAAGATACATCAACAACTAAAAATATATATTCTAAAGAAAAAAAAAGGGGGGAAAATGAAAAAGGTATGTTAAAAGTATACACATGAGAAAGCCAGTTTACTGAATATCTTTTCTATAATTTAATCAGCATTAAAAAAAAAAAAAAAAAAAAAAAAAAAAGGGAGAAGCCCAGCGTGGTGGTGTACACCAGTAATCCCAGCAACTCAGGGGGTTGAGGCAGGAAGATTGCAGACTTGAGACCAGTCTCAGAATCTTTGTGAGGCCCTGTCTCAAAATAAACAAATAAAAAAAGGGCTGGTGATGTAGCTCAGTAGTGAGGTGCCCCTGGATTAAATTCCTAGTACCAAAAAAATAAAAGGTGAGAAACTGTTCCCATGATATGCATTTTTTACATGATACGCATTCAAATACTTTTATATAAAATTTGTTTTACTTCCACTAATTATCTAAGAGAAAATAAATAGATAACCTGAGAAAGCAAAGAATAAAGACTAAAGTTAAGAAGGGAGAACCAGGGCTGGTTTGTGGTAGAGCACTCGCCTAGCATGTGCGAGCCCTGGGTTTGATCCCGAGAACCACATAAAAATAAATAAAATACAGGCATTGTGTCCAACTACAACTAAAAAATAAATATTTAAAAGAAGGGCGAGCCAATAAGCTCACGAATTGAAGTCTTGTCAATTCCAAGCCAAGTAGCAATTATAAATGATGAGGAGGAATCAGTTGTGGACTAAAAAGAAATTGTGGAGACAAATTTTATTCAAGCAAACCTTCATTATCTTGATCTTACAACTTTTTAAAGGCTAATACGGAAGCTTATTTCATCCTTCATCTCTAACAATCAAAGATTTTTTTCAGTCAGGCGCTGTGGCACACATCTGTAATCCCAGCAATTCTGGAGGCTGAGGCAAATGAATGGCAAGTTCAAGACAAGCCCCAGCAATTTAGCAAGGCCTTAAGCCACTCAGTGAAATGCTGTCTCAAAAATAAAAAATAAGGTAAAGTGCTTCTTTGTCCAGTGAACACATTCAACTCTGGTTACCTGCAAAACTGATACTATGCTTTCAATATTTGTAATAAGAAAGTGAATATAATCCAAGATTTTAACCTTCAGCATTCATTTAAGAAATGTGCTTTGATAAAAAAAACCTTACTAAAAAACTATTTTGAAAAAGTGAGTGGTCTGAAGAATAGTAAAAAATATTTGGAATGCTACCTATATCATATATTTGTCTACCTGAATGACATGATACACTCTGGGAAATAAACCCACATGAAACTACCAGATTTATCAATTTATTAGGGAGAAATTTAAATCTGTCTTAGGTATGAATTTATTTAAAAATTTTCATCATTTCATATTCTTGAGGTATTAATTGCTGTAAATAAATTTTATAAATGCAAAATGTTAGTGGTAAACAATGCTGTTGGGAAGCCTTTTGTTTCTCAATGTTAAGGGAAGATAATGTGTGTTGACTCAATTTCCTGTTTAAAAGAAAATCCACTATAGCACAGATTCCATCTGCAGGAGAAAAAAATGTACTATTGTTTAAGGATACTGTGGTTTTCTTGGGTATGTTTAGGATAAACAGAAGCTCAGTCAAACTTTCCTCACTCTGTATTTACTATCCATTAATCTTATATATGGAAGAAGAGAAAACTCTGAGCATCAATGTGCTGCAAGAAAAATTATATTGTTTCCAGTGATTTTTGTAGAATTAAAGTTCTCCCCAGAGACCAAAGATTCCAAAACAGTAATACAAAACCAAGTTATATTTCCTTACATGTATCAAGAACACTCGCTTTTTAAATTAACATCCATGGCAGATACACCTAGACCAAACAGTTCTGAAATAAAAGTAGGTCAGAAAAGAAGCTCTCTGCATATCACTGATACCAACTGCAGATAAGAAAAAAATTAAAATAGTAGCAAACAGCTTATAACAAGAAATGTGTTTGAATTTTGATCAGAAAATGAAGAGGGGTCAGGGGAAAGAAAGAAAAAAATATACAAATAAAGGTAGGGATAAACGAGAAAGAACAAATTTTTAAAAAGGAAATATTTTTAGTGCACTACTAAAGTTCCTCACAAATAAATACTTATAAGAACTTATAAAGCTATCTCAATTGTTGGAACAATTTGAGAAACTAAATCAAAGCACTACAGAAACCAAGATGTCACTAGGCCCACTGCATCTTAAAATGAGGCCCAGGGAACCAGTAAGCACCAAATTCGACTGGGAGGTCAAATAATTTTCATGAGAATACTAGAACATCACTTTTTCATTAAGTTGACATGTATACTGATGGCACAAAAGTAGTAGTGGCATCTTAGCACAAATCAAGATGGTGACAGCTAAGAACAAACTGTCTTAGCCATTTCATTCACTGTCATACCTTCAAAATTAAGCCAGTTTAAAGTAAACATTTCCTTGATGAAACAATAAAAATTATTGATTTTATTTATTTTATTACAGCTAATTGTCTAAATATGTGTTTTTAATATTTGGTGATAAGAAGTGGGAGGTATGTGGAAGGACTAAACATCCATTGTCAAAGCATGAGGGCTGTCCAAAGGAAAAGCACTGTGTCAACCATTTGAGTCTTGAGGGTAACTATTTTAATTAAACACTACAGGTGTATTTAAAAGGCTAGTCAGAATCTTAGTACACACTCTTAGGTGGATAAGGGGAGTCCACTGACAGCTTACCTCCAGGAGTAGAAGGGTCTCTTGTTCTGTCCACTCTCTTCCAGCACTAGCACCTTTACTCTTTAAAAGCAAAATCAACAATGATTTGGTCATAAAAATGAATATGGATGGAGACAAGCAAGATTCTCTTTTAAGTTCACAGGATTGTTACATGCAAATATGCAATGTAAGTTCCTCAACAAATAAATACTTTTAAGAACTTAAACTTCCAACAAAAGGTCATCATATTTCAAAAATTCTTGCTATCAGGGACTCATAAATGATTTGGACATTATTTCTATTATTTTGATACTTGGAAAGACCTTTTGTAGACAATAAAGACACAGTAACTATAGTACATATCAAAATTTGACAACTATTTAGTATACATTTAATGTAACAACTATTTAGTATAACTTGAAAAGAGAACTTTTTCCAAGATTCCAAGCCAAGATGTTACACATATATAAAACACTGATAGGTTCATGAATCTAATCCCATCAAATTAATTTTAACTCATTTTTAACATCCTTGATTTTTTTTAAAAAAATCTAATTCATTAAATTATAAATTACCTCTTTAATATAGTTTGTTTTTTTTAAAAAATAGTTTACAAATCATGGCATTTGGGCCATAGACTGCAGGTAACAAATTATGATTTGTTGAGTCACTGGGGTATTCAATCTATATCATTCTAAAATATTTTTCATTTGGTGAGTGTGGGGGCGCATGGATGTGCCTAAACACATAGTCCTAGAGAACAAAAAGAACTAATCTAAGTATTGTAGAATTAAAAACCTAGAGTACGGTGTTTTGAAAAAGAAAAGACACATATACCTGTAACTCACAATACATTGCTCAGATCCCCTGAGGATTACGTTAGAAAATAACTAAAGGTTCTTTTTAATAAACCAGAATCAGGTGACCAATCCAATTTAGAGCCCAAGAAGAATAAAATTCATTTCATCTAAATTTAATCTAAATTCTGAAGATATCAGAGCCAAGAGAATAAAGGGAAGATCTAAACATTTCCCCATATCTTTGGCACAATGTATAGCACAGACTTTGTCCATTCTCGGTGGTTTAAGTCAATCTTTCTCTTCTTAAAATCAATGACTCAAGAAAGATCAATGTAGGCTCATCAGAGCCCATGAAATGTTTATTGAGGCTTTTGCATGATTTATTTTTTTCTTTTGATTTACTGAGTTATAATACACACACCAAACACACACTCACAAATAAATATTTAGTGTGCTGCTTGATACAACTTTACCTACAACTTGTATAATACAACTCAAAACCCCAAATACACCTTGAAATCTCAAGTTGACAGCCACCCTCAGGAGGATACAGTATTCTGAACACTCCTACCATTGGTTAGATTACTTGGATCTGAATTTTAAAATAATGAAATCATATAATATGTAGTTTGTGGGGTCTGCATTCTTTTTCAATATTATGTCAATGAGATTCAACCACATTTTTATAGGAAGAAGTAGGTAATTTTTAAGTAATACTATACTATCTAAACAAAAACCAAATTTTACTATTCATACATTTTGGTTATGTATACTGTTTTGCTAACTGATTAAAATTAAAATGAATATTCTTATAGATTCATTTGTTTATTCTCTGTTATACTCATTTATCAACATATCTAGATATATTAGGGGTGTGTGTGTGGGTTGTGTGTGTATACAGATGTTTGCAACTGGATATCTCTATGTTTAGATATAATTTAAAGATCATTCCACTTCCACTTCCTCAGAATTTATGTATGTTGGTATTTTTATTTCCTTAAATGTATGGTTCAAATCTGTGGAATAATCTAGGCCAAGAGTTTATTCTGGGGAACACATTTACCTATATATTGATATATTAGATATAAGGCCACTCAGAGGTATTAGCTATTGTCTTTTTAACATGTAGCATCAGTATTAATATATACTTTTTAATATTTTCAGTTGTAGATGGACACAATTCCTTTATTTTACTTATTTATTTTTATGTGGTGCTGAGGATAGAACCTGGTACCTCACACATGCTTGGCAAGTGCTCTACCACTGAGCCACAACCCCAGCCCTACGCTTTCATTAATGATCAGTACTTTATGTCTTCTTTTTTCTTCTTATCACTGTGGATGAAGATTTATCAAATTTATTCATCTCTTCCAAGAACAAGTCCTTACTCCATAACTTTCTTTATTAGTTATCTGATTGGAGTTTCTAGTTTTTATTTTGTTATCATAAACTATGGGAAATCACCCGTGAATTACTTGAGGGTCTTCTCTTGGTATAGAGCTATGGAGATTTACCTTTATTCTTGGGTACTATCCTCTGCTCCCCATACCCCGCGCATTAGATTGCCCAAGGCACATGACTTCTATGTCTGTTCTACTAGGAAGACCCCTCCTGTAGCTCCAGAGTTGGGCTTAACCCATTGGGAAATGGGACAGCCCACCTCCTACCTTATTTGGCAAAGAACATTCCATGGAAAAACCTTTGATGTTCCCTGAAATAAGTAAAGCAAGCATGGGCTCCATTTTGTTCTTTTCAGTGTGGAAGCTTGTTCTCTAAGATTGACTAGTCCATCCGCCACAACTTTTAAAATTATTTTTTGTGTTCTGTGGTTTTTTTCACCACTAATTTTTTTATCCTTTATTTCGAAGCCAGCCCATCCCCCCCTAAGAGGAAACCTATTTCCACCGCCCATGCGGGATATGGACGGGAGTCAACTACATTTATTTTACATGTATAAAATTGTACAATGTGTTATGATTTTATGTCATTAATGTCACTATATGATTTCAATCCTTTTAAATGTACAGAGATTCACTTGATCACTCAGGATTGGGTCCAATTTGGTGAATGTGCCCTGGTACTTGAAAAGTTCTTTTGCAGTCTTTTATAAAAACCAAACAAATGGGTCATGCTGCTCGATAGTATTGTTGTAAGTCTTTTATATATATTTAATATATTTATTTTAGTTGCAGTTGGACACAATATCTTTATTTTATTTTTATGTGGTGCTGAGGATTGAATCCAGGGCCCTGCACATGCTAGGCGAGCGCTCTACCGCTGAGCCACGACCACAGCCTGGCATATGTTTTTTTTTAAACATTTATTTTTTAGTTGTAGTTGGACACGATACCTTTATTTATTTTTATGTGGTGCTGAGGATTGAACCGAGAGCCTCACATGTGCTAGGTGAGTGCTCTACCACTGAGCCACAACCCAAGCCCAGTCTATTATATTCTTAATGATTTTCTAACTACTGCTTCTATCAATGACTGAGAAAGGAACATTGCAATCTCCAACTATAATTGTGTCTTTTTCTCGTTACAGTTTTCTAACTTTTTGATTTCTGTATTTCAGTGCTCTTTAATTAGTTGCACATATATGGAATGTCCTTTTGATTAATCCCTTTATCATTATGAAATATCTGATTAAACCTGTTAAAATAACTTTCTGAGGTCTACTTTTACCAATATTATAGAGAGTGACTTGTGCTTTCCTTTGATTAGTTTTTACAAAGGGATATCTTCTTCACTTCTTATACTGTTACTCTACATCTTTTATTTGAAGTGGGTTTCTTATGGACAACACATCATATTCTGATTTGGTAATCTAATTGAGCTATTTCTGCTCTTTTTTCTTTATTTTATTTTTTTAGCTGTAGGTGGACACAATATCTTTATTTTATTTTTAGGAGGTGCTGAGGATCAAACCGTGTCTCATGCTTGCCAGGCGAGCACGCTACTACTTGAGTCACATCCCCAGCCCCTATTTTCTGCTCTTTGAGTATTAAAAATCACTTTTTTCTTTTTTGTGGGTGGTGCTGAGGATTGAATCCAGGGTCTTGTGCATGCCAGGCAAGTACTATACCAATGAGCCACAACCTCAGCCCCAAATCACTTTTAAAAATTATCATTATAATTGCGAGGGTTAGATGTAAACATACAAGCTTGTTATTAGACTTCTACTCTTTTAATCAGTTCCTTATATTCTCCCTCTCCCTTCCTTATGGAGTTTGTGTGTGTGTGTGTGTATTTACCTCCATTACTTGCTTACTTGTTATACTTTATTAAAGAGTTTTAGTAAGATTTATAATGCTCATTTATAACTTATCACACTGTAATTTGTTTTTTTAAATTTATTTTTTAAGTTGTAGTTGGAAACAATATTCATTTATTTTTATGTGGTGCTGAGGATCGAACCCAGGGTCTTGCACTTGTGAGGCGAGCGCTCCACCGCTGAGTCACAACCCCAGCCCCACAGTGTGATTTCAAATACCATTTTAGTACTCCATGTAAAGGTTAAATACATGTAAAGGTATGCGTCTATTCTCCCTCCCATCCTTTATGCCAATTGTTTGGAATCTAACATCCATATGTTATAGACAATATACAATATTACTTTTGCTTAAATAATCCCTTATCATTCTTAAAAACTAAAAAGAACTGGAAAATGTCTTCTTTTTTTAAGTTTTAATTTTTTTTGGTAGTTGTAGATGGACAGAATACCTTTATTTTATTTGTTCATTTATATGTTGTGCTAAGGATCGAACCCAGTGCCTCACACAAGCTAGGCAAGTGCTCTGCCACTGAGCTATAGCCTCAACCCCCCAAAAATGTTTTTTATACTGATATACAAGTTGACTTTTTCTGGCACTCTTCTATGTAGATGCATTCCATTCCCAAAAATGCTTAGTCAAATTATAGTTTATCTTAATTTAGTATTTTCCTCTTGTTTGCAAATAATGTAAGATTCACATTGATTTAACTAAATTTAACCTCCAAGCAACTTTTTGCCATTTCTTCATGCCATAAACTCTACATCTAACAACATATTTACTCTTTTCTGTTCTCCTTACTCCTTCCTTGAGTCAAATGCTTCTGTCTGGGATTATTACCCTTAATTCTGCAGAACTCCTTTAGGTCTTCCACTGTAAGCTACTGAAGTTCTCCACGATCTTCAAAGACTGCAAACAGCTTTACTCTATCTTCCATTAAAAGGTATTTCTACTGGATACAGAATTTCAAAGTGACAGTATTTTTATGACTTTAAAATATTATTCTATTTGTTCTTAACTGTAACACTTTTGTTGAAAATTCAGCCTTTTATTATTCCTTTGAGTTTAATATATCCATTTCTACCTCCATTCCTACCCGTAACTGGCTTTTTTTCAGATAACGTTTTTAAGAGATTTAATATATTTGGGGGCTAGAATTGTAGCTCAGAGGACGAAAGCTTGCTTCACACCTATGACACACTGGGTTCGATCCTCAGCACCACATAAGAATAAGTAAGTAAGTAAGTAAGTAAGTAAATAAATAAATAAATATATTTGGGTCTGGTTTTCTCAGTATTCAAATTTGGAACTGTTTGGTGAGTATCTAATCCATTTTTATTAGTTCCGGGAAATTTTTAGCCATCATATTTTTAGAAATCACTCCTCCTCCACTCTTTTTCTTTGTCTGAGTCTAAAGAAATATATTAATTCTTTTGACTAAATATCTCTTGAACTCTATTCTCTTTGTCCTGTCCTCTCTTTATACCACACACTTTGTGTCTTATTATTTTAGTATATTTCAGCTAAAGTATCTACTAACATGTCTGAGTTCACTAACATGTCTTTTGCTGTATCTAGTTGCCTGTTAAAGTCTTCCAATGTGTTTATTTTAGGTATAATTTTCAATTCTAGAATATTCATGATTCTTTAAATATATTTCAGTTCTCTGTTCAACTTCTCCATTTCCCCACGTATACTATTCATAGTTATTTTAAAATACCTATCTGCTAACCATAGGAAAAAAGGGTGTTTGTTGTTTTATAAAATGCCATCGAATTTCCATAGAAAGCTCACTTCCTTCCTCCATATAGGCAGATTTTACTTTCCATGGAAAACAATGCATCTTAAAAGGACATAGAGTACATTTTGGGCTGTAGTCTCGATGTGTTTACAAAACAATATCTTACCTTTGCTAATGTTTTCTTGGAGTAGATGTCAGTACGAAGACCAAAGTTCTGCAAATCAATTGGTTTTTCCTTGTTCTTCTCAGGAAAATTTAACATCTGCTGAGCAGCAGGTACCTATGAGTCAGATAAATGATATATTATTATACTACCTATTCGCAGTAAAAGGGATAAAGGTTTTTTAAGAATCCTTAATACTGGCATTCATATCACTCCTGGTGAAAAACAACAATACACACACATACACACCAAAACAAACAACTGACCAAGGGCTGGGGTTGTGGCTCAGTGGTGGAGTGCTTGCTTTGCACATGTAAGGCACTGGGTTTAACCCTTACCACCACATAAAAATAAATAAACTAAATAAAGTTATTGTGTCTATCCAAGACTTAAAAAAAAAAAAAAAAATTAAAACTGACCCAAACATTGAAATCTCCACTTATACTTTTAACAAAACTCAACATGTAAGAAACATTTTTTGGCATTTTTCACTGGGCTCTGTCGTGTCCACCTGTAATCCCAGAAACTTCAGGAGACTGAGGGACAGGGATGGCAAGTTCAAGGCCTGTCTGAGCAACTTAGCAAGACCCTCAAAATTTTGATGCTTTTTTTCCCCATTTCATTCCTGAAAAGACAACATTTTTCTTTCAATATGCTCTAGTTCACACTGGAGGGAAATTTGTAGCTTATGTTCTTATTATACCATCTTATTACTACTTATAATTTGTTTAGTGTAATAATAATAATAATATTTTCAACATGTGTATGGATGTCCACTTTTCAAATCTTTGATCAACTTTTGAACATTTTTTTATTCACATTACTAGGACACAGGTTGAATAAAAGAGAAGTTGTTTTTATGTTATTTGCTTATTAGTGATGGCAGAAGGATAAAGGATAAATATGAATGGAAACCTATAATTTGAAAGAATAAGACAAATTGGTTTTGTAACTAGTGACATTATTATCTTAAACACTAAATGGTTTTTTTTTTTCTTTTCTTTTTTAAAATTTTTTGAGGTGGTGGTGGTACTGGGGATTGAACACAGTAACATTCTAACACTGAGCGACATCCTTTTAATTTTTTGAAATATTGACACAGGGCCTTACTAAGTTGCCCAGATTGACCTTAAACTTGATGATCCACCTGCATCAACCTTCTGAGTCACTGTGATTATAGGTGTATGTCACCATGCCCAGCAAACACTACATATTATTAACAGATGAACATTTATAATAACAAAACAAAACACATTCGACACAGAAACCAAAAGCTATCAGCTAAGAAATAACTTTCTAAGACAATGGTTACTCCTGAATAGGAATGCTTCCAGTGGATGTTGCCATCTAGGTCTGAAGAGAAGTTAGCAATAATTTACCTGAGGTGATCGAAGATGCAGAGGCACAAGCCCAGAGGGAGTATCAGCTAATACATTGAAATGAGGAGTAGGAGGAGGTCCCATTGCCATGGGTCGACTTTCTGGATCAACTTGATAATTAACAAGCCCCCACTGCTCTAAAAAGGCATGAACCCTGAAGAATAAAGCTCCGAAAATTAAAATCTAGAGAATTAACCTCATTTCTACAACCATCATCATCTCATTAAAATCCAAAACACATAATTATGCCACAGTATATTCTATTGTCATGTATAACTGAAAAGAACTAATTAAAAAAAACATAGAAGTATGAAGAAGTGAATTTGGTATCAACATACCTTATATACAGAGATATGATAAATTATTGTATAATGGTGTATTAAGAATTGTAATGAAAAAATAAATAAATAGGGAAAAAAGTACAGGAAAGCAAGTAAGTATGTTCTCTGCAGGCTTCATACCACCAAAGTACCAGACAAATTCAATTTGTTACATGAGTGATAACTTCTACAAACCCAAAACGTTGTGGCTAATATAAATCCACAAAACCGATGATAAACTAAAGTTTAATAGTTTTGATCACAGTAACGAGAACAAATGCTACTGAGGTCAACAGTGAAAAAACTCAAGGATAGATTCAATTCACAGAAGGAAATCCACACTTTGTATTTTTTTCTTTAGACAGATTTAAGACAGAGTCTATCCACTTCCCACGCAATTCACTGTTTATCTCTGCTAATTTTATGATTTGATTTTAAAATTAAAAACTGTAAAATCCAAAAAACTCAGTATTGAAAATACTAAACACATGTTTATTAGATTTACATTATTAAGATTTACACATTACTAACAAAAAACATCCAGTTTAATAAAATATTAAAAGCAATGTATCAGTAACCACGTGCTGTGAAATATCTAAAAAGAAGTCAAAGAAATTTACCTCATCACAGCACACACATCTCCAGTCAAGTTCCTCCGACAAGCAGTGCTGGTTAAATACTCTTGGGGGTTCAGACGGTATGTGTCAATCATAAAATTTCTATATGCCAAGTATCTAAAAAACATGGGCAAAATTCAAATTTTTTTCCAGTTGTACTAGAGAAGGAACCCAGGGCTTCTCTTGTGCTAGTCAAGTGTTTTACCACAGAACTACACCTTTCAGATCCCCAAGGGCAAAATTCATAAGGCAGACATGCAATTCTTTCAGAAATAGTTACTTAAAGAATCAAACTTCTTCAGATTCTTCACAATTGTATACAACAAAAAATTAAGACAGCAGGCAACAAACAACAATGATAATGAGTATTTACAGTTGTCAGTTAACTCAGAAATCCTATTAAGCAAAGTAATTATTTACTAGTGTACAACAAAAAATAGATTGATTTGATGATGTTAATGTGAAATAAAAACTGCAAACTTGGTCATGGTGGAGAAGGGATTTATAAATCCTTGGATGCATGCAGAATCTACCGATAACACATGATTTCTTAGGCCATCTCTCCTATTACCATCAACTTAGCACTTACGGTGTGCCAAGCCCTATTCTAAGCATTTTCCATATAGTAACTCAATTAATCCTCAAAATCCCTCAATAAAGTAAGATCTTTTAAAATCCCATTTATAGATGAGACATAAGCACAGACTGGTTAAAAACTATGTTAGGCTACTGGGCTTGGAAGCATAAGAGCCAGAATGAACATAGGAAGTACAGTGGCTGTGGAATCTATGCTCCTAACATCTGCTCCAACTCATTTCTACAATCTTTCTATAGCCACATGTCAATTTGACATGACTGTATAACTTCCATGGCAGCAGTTCCAGGGAGACCTAGGAAGGCAACAAGTAAAACCCATGGAGCCAAATTCAGAGGTAAGACAAGAACATACAAAAAAGTTAAAAAAAAAAAAAAAAAAAAGACTCAGTGGCACAGCAGATTCCGCAATGTATCCAAGCATATCCACCAAAAATACTTAAAAAAACAGACTGTAAAGGAGTTTGAAACCTTACGATCATTCTTGGAACACAAGTAAAACAAGACCTCGGTAGCCTGAGGTCAGCTACATTAGACGAGAAAGAGAGTACACTGATCAAAACAGCTCCTGAATAAGCAATAGGTAAATATGCAAATAATAAAAGATTAATTTGCAAAGTGAAATTGGCTAAAATGCAAAATAAAGCTTTTCAGGAGAAGGCTACTAAAAACCATTAAGTATTTACAAATGCTGAAAATGGGCAAATTCTTTGGAATAATAATACCGTGTCAGAATAGGTGCAAAAATAGGAAAGAAAGCAGAATGAATCTAACATAAATTTTCTATGGACATATATGACACTACCTAAGTGGATTCCACCATTATGTACACCCACAAGAATAATTTTATCAAAATGAATTCTACTGTCATATATAACTAAAGAGAAAAACAACAACGA